CTACATAGAATTGTGGAATTTGAACATGTCACCTTTATTTAAAATAAAACTGTATATTTGTGCATATACGACTTTTGTTAAAGAACGACAGCCTGTTCGCATTTGTAATTAAAGGCCAAACGCAGGCGCTAACAAAACAAACCTTCGTTAATACCAAGAATAACATCAAATACCCTAAACCGGGTAGCCTAACATTTGTGTGGCGGCTGTTGAACTTTACGTTTTAATTTTCTAGACCACTTTAGAATGATTCATAAAATTGTTTGTAGCAAATAAATATGATTTAAAGCCCCTCGGGATACATAACATCTGGATTTTACAGAATTCTTATTTTGGGATAACAAAAGTATAAATGATAAATTAGCGCGAAATAATTTTAAATAAATCAACTTGAATAGATATACAGTATAGTGCAAAACTGAGTACAAGGTGCTAGGTTTGCTAACCCTACTTCAATGTTTGGGTCAAAATTGCCCAATCTTCATGAAAAAATTCTTTAACTACAAGAGTTAGCCACTTTTAAAAAAGCTGCGGCTCTGCAAAAAATAAAAGGGTTTTTATTTTATTTTGTCTTCTAGAAGGCAGCATAGTTTATCCATACACCCACGTGCTTCTGGGTCACTTTGACCCACATTATTATTTCGTTTTTAAGGGCAACTTTGAACCTGTAAGAATACAGCACTGGCCGTTAAAGTATTTGCATATGATAAATAAAATATTTACTGAATTCTATCTTCTTTTCTTAAAATTTTTTAATTTCTATTATTAGGTAAAACTGACCCAAACATAGGAAGGGGTAAATTTCGAACACTGCAGAAGGGTTAAATACTTGCAAGGTTTTTAATGTGAATTTTTTTATTTTTTTATAAAATTATGGTTAATGCTTTAACCAAAATCCTACCTTAAAATTGTATACAGGGATTAGAAAAATTTCAGCAAAAATTTCAACTTTTTAATCAGAATTTTTAGAAAATTTTTGGATATGTAGTTTTATAACTCATAACTGTTTATTTTTATTTTTTTTTTGCTGTAGGCTTTTTACAAATAAGCATGAATTTCTTATGAAAAAAAAAATGAGCAAGACCATTTGCAAAGAAAAAAATAAAAAAAATCAACGCCGTATTTTATAAATTGCACTTGTTGTATGAAAACACCTGCAAAAGCCATCACAAAAAAAAATAATAATAATACAAAAATACGATATTAGACACCTTAATTACATCTTTCTTGTGTCCTGGTTCCAGCAACATCAAAGTTTTTTCTAATAGCGCTCGCTCCTTGGAAGGCAATGAAAAAAAGCTAAAAGATTAAAACTGTAGGTCCCTTCGTTTTGAGTGAAAATATCAAGGCCCACACCACAAGTTCGGCCAAAGACTAGCAATAGTGTAACGGCTCTATTCTGTATCAGTGACAAATTCTTGTCACATTTTTCATTACGGACAAATATATGAAAAGTTCAAATTTGTCAGTAAAAAATTTGTGTCACCGATACAGAATTGGGATATAAATTTCAAATATTTATTTAACAATTTTTTTATTTAGCCATTTTTGTGCTGTACAATGCTCCACTAGTTAATCTAACATTCCCAAGTGATGGTTGTCTTTTGATCAATTGTGCTAGTTCAGATTTTGTGGAATTTACTCCAAAATCGTGATAGCTTATTTAGTAGCCCTGCAAAGGATTAGTGAAGATTTCTAGATATTTTCATATACCCATAGTGGCAATGTCATCGGTGTCCGGCGGCTTCTTTTAATCTTTTACAGCCATCTCTCAACAGCGAAGTCTCATAATAGAGATGGGGTGTATTGCTTAATAGTAATCTTTTTAGGGAAGAGTCTTTCGTCTCTGCACGTATTTGTGTATATTCCGATCTGTGACAAATGCTACTAGAGTATTGCCGAAGCCAGGTTCCTCGAGCGATGAGATAATTGCATAAGCACTAAAATGTTATTGAAACCACTTTCTATGACCAAAAAGACGAAAAAAGAATATTTCTTGTGATGCAAAGGTTTTCTCAAAGATAAGGCTGCGCGAATTCGTGTCTATAGCCTTAAATACCATGTTTCCGTATTTTCACGGGACTTAAGTTGTACATTTATTGTTATTGTATTTGTGTGTTAAACACAGAGTAGCAATACGTCAGGTAACAACAGAATTAAACATTTTTTAACATCTTTGTTTTCTACTACAATGCAGTTTACTACAAAAATCTTACGTATGTATTTCGAATTACATAACTCAGAACAATGGCCATATGATGTACGCATATAATACCGTTCCCAATATGCATAATCACTAAAAAGGTGTTTAGTCACGAAATTCAATATATTTTACTAATTCACAGCAGGTGAAAATAAATTGTAGGCGTGTAGTATGAAAAATTACGTATTGGAATCCCATCGTACGGATTGTCTCAATAAATGTATGTATGTACGTTGGAAGAACGCGTGACTAACGGCAAATTCTGCTATATACTTATAAAGAAAAAAGTAAGAATACCTGCATTGCATACCGAAAAGTAAATATAAAAAAATAAATATAAGAGAGTGAAAAGAAAGGTAACTGAAAAAAATTAAAAATAAAAATAGATAAATAAAAAACTTGCCACAAAAACAAGGTACATACGTATGTATAAAAAATGCTTAACAAAAAAACCAATTTGAATCCTACTAAAATTCAAATGAACAATGTAGAGAAAAACAAATCGCAAAAATAATAAAAGCCCAGACGAAATTCCAAAAATAAAATTGTAGATTCATAAAGTCGCCAAACTGCATTTCGAATGATCAAAATTCTAACGGTAAAACAACGTGTCTTTGACGTCGTAAAACAGAAGGTAACAAAAGTCGCAGTACTAAATACATAGCCACCAAACCAAGCGTTTATATTTTTATGCAGTTTATTTTGTTTTCTTCATTAGATACTTTGCAGCAAAAGTTGTAGAACGAGGTGAGGGTATGCTTTTACCCCTCCCCGCCAGAAATCCAGCTAAAGGAAACCAGCCTTTTTATGGATGTCTGTTGTGTGATATGCATACATACATATGTATATACAAACATGCACACATATATATGTCTGCATATATTGCAGTTTGCGTGTGCATGAGTTAGTGAGTGAGTGTGTTAAGTATTTCATATAAAAAATAATAATAAAATTTGCAAACAACAAACGACGAACGGCACGAAACAGCAAAGAAAATAGAAAGTTCTGTTGACAATTTTTATGTCACCATCAACTGGTAGAGTTGGGCAGGTGTAAAAGAAGAAAAAAAAAACAATTAAAAACACACGCACGCATGCGCATATAAGCCAAAGGCGTATGCTTTAAATTCGAAGTAAATAAAAATGCGAGGATTTGTAGATAAAGCTAGTATTAATTTTTAGATTTCTTTATCATTTATTATCTGCTTCTATAAACGAACTTTTTTTAATTTTTTATGTTAACTTGTATAATACATTTAATATTTTTTTATTAATTACTTTTATTTTTTATTTTTTTTTTTTGAGTGCTTATTTTTATTTATTTTTTTTTTAATTTCAACATTTTATTCTAGAATATATTTGTTTATAAATATGCGTTTTTAATTTAGGCCCGTTAATTATTTTCATTTTATACTTTTTTTATTTTTATATCCTTCTTAATATTAATTTTGTATTACAAAATTTAATCGAACAATTTTTTATCGCGCTTGATGTTGTTTCAAATGAAATATATCGAGGAAACACAGCTATAATCCACATTTGGCAGCTATAACTTCTGCCAAATAGAGGTTATTGTTGTTTTTTCACATCATGTTTCATTTAAAACGGCCTCAAGTGCAATAAAAAACGATTTGTTGACCTTTTTTTTTAATTGTATATTTACTTATATTTATTTTATAGTTTCTTATGTGTTATGTAGTATTTATTTGCTTTTATATTTTGTTTTTAGTTCTTTATTTTATTATCTTATGTTTTAATCTTTATTTTTTACTTTTATTTTTTGTTTACTTTTTACTTACTGTTTTTAACTATATTGTTTACTATATTTTTTAATGTGTCATTTAATTTTTTTAATTATGTATACCTAATTATTTATATTTCTGTTGTGATTTTGTTAAACTTTTATATTATTTATTATTTTCTTGAATATTTTCCTTATTAAAAATTATTTTTTCTGTATTATTCTTTTGTTTTATTATTTTAGTTTTATTTTGTATTTTTTATTTTGTCATAATTCTTTATTTTATTTTGTATAACTTTTCTTTATTCTTATTTTTTTATTAGTTCATTACATCAGTTTTTTGTTATATTATTTTTTATTTTATTTTTTTCTTTTTACTATAAACTATTTTAAAATTTTTTAATTGTATTTTGACGACTGAGTGGTAGGTCGACCTATCTAGGCAGTTAGTTCGAAAACACCCTATTATCTCAGAAAACCTTTCAAGAACATCCTATTTCAAAAATTGTTTGAAGAATGCCCTATCCTAGAAGGACGCGTTATTTCAGAATTCGGTTCAAAAGCGCCCTATCTCAACATATTTTCAATATGTTTTCAGTTAAGATAGAGCGTTCTTCTACCAAATTCCACGAGAGGGTGTTCTGCAATCAAATTCTAAAATAGGACGTTTTTTAACCAAATTATGTAGTGGGGCTTTCTCGAAAACTTTTCTGAAATAGGGCGCTTTCGAACCGGCTTAATAATCTTATAATAATAATTATCGCAACGGTTTTCTTCTCAGCCATCGATGTGAGGTTTAATTTGTTATATTTTTTTTATACTTTTTTCTACTTCTTCCTCTTTTTAAATTTTAACTTTGTATACTTAAGCTTTTTAAATTCTTGTATCTTTAAACTTGTATTGTCATCGCGTGCATGCGTGCGTCTGCATTAAAAATTAGCTTTAAAATTTTCAAAAATTGTATCTTTCTTTCAACTTTAAGAAGCGCACAGACAGCATTTGAGACGTTGCTGCTCAAGACGGCTAGCTTGTGCTACAATGAGTGCATAATAATTACCTGCAGCGTTGTTTTTGTTGTTCTGGTTTTCTGCTGTTACTGCTGTTGGCTTGCAGAGAAAAAAATTACTATTAGCAGGCTGCTGTGACATTGAATTAGTGTTCCAAAGACGATTAATGTTGCTGCAGCCTTGGAATTAAAAAAAAAAGATTTTCACTTAAAAATTGCAATGTGGTTGTGTGACTTTTGTATTGCGAAGTTTCTATAGTATTTTATTTTTAGAATTGCATTAATATTTTGCATTTATTTTGTTTTTAATTTTAGTTTTTCTTTGTATTTATATTTAAAAACACACACACACTTTCGTTTTATGTAGTATATTTTCACTTTTTCATTAAGTATTGCTGCAACACATTTGCTTATAAACACGTGAGGAAAATGTTGCTAAGCATTCAATTTGTTGCCATGCATGAAATGGCAAATTGCTTTTGTTTTCTGCATTTGCTCTTGCACAGTTGTGTTGAAAATGAACTGAAAAAAACTAAAAATTATTATTTTATTTTATTTTTTTTTTATACACCTTTCGTGTTTTTCTATCTTTGTACTGCCTTAGCTTGGTTGTGCTTTTTGTCTTCGCAACAGCTTTTTTCCGCACTAATTTGCTGCACTTTTATGTTCACTTGTATTTTTAATTTATTTGTTTGTGTTAACGATTATTATTTATTGCTGTTTTTTTTTATCTGCATGCTGTTTGTGGTTTAGCTTTTGCACAACTTAGCACAATCTTGAAGCCAAGCGGTGCAAAAAAGTTTAAATGAAAAAAGTTCCAATGCATGCAGATGGTTTACATACACATTGTACATACATATGTATATATATGTACTATATACATATATGCACATATGTATGTGTTTGCGTATGAATGTGCAAGCAGAAATGCACATTACATTAAGTATTTAAACAAAGAGTGGCGTTTGGTGCAATGGTGTGAATAACTGAGTGGCTGACTGTCTGTAAAAATAGGTGACTAACTAGTCGATTTTTATATACAGCAAATGACCCTGTGGAAAATTTTTCATAGCACAATGTCACATTCTTTTCCAGCTACTTACAGCTACTGAAAAATAATTATACTATGGACTTTTCTAGACCAGCTGCAGTAGAAGTTACATTTTTGCGAAAAAAACTGCCTTGGCATGAATTTCAGTTTTGGTAGCGAGAAGTTCACTGTGCTGGGTAACATGCCTATGTGGAGTTGAAAGCCTGAAGGTCGATAACAAGTTCACACGAAGAAGATCTATAATTACTGACTGGGTATCTTCAAAACGCAGTAAGTACTTGGCGATGGCAGGGGACCTTATACAGACCAGCTTCTTTAGCTATTTAAATAGAAATAGAGTCGAAAACATTTCAGCGCATCCAAGTTTCTCCGTTTTAATATCGATATGACTGGACTCTCGAAAGACGACTTTCACTCGATCGATACGACACTCACAATGAGGCTGATTATTTGCGACTGAACTTGTCCCTGAATCTAATATGATGAATCTCCATAAAATTTCGGTTAAGGAATTTGTCTAGAATCTCATGTCTTTCACGCTCCAATGTTGGGCACTCGATAAGATAGTGCGAGACGGATTACCTACTTTATTCGAGATTACGACTACGGCAAGGAGGGTTGTATGCAAGGCCTAACTGCATGTTTACGAACGAGCCTGTTTTCCAAAATCCTGGCGGTATCTTCTTTAGAAATTCCGCTTTTGATAGTGCAGCCAAACATTCCTAGTACCTTTGCAAATTTTTAGGTAGTTCCATCGTGTTTCTGCCATTCGTGCGATTCGCAAGTCTATTTTTTGCTCCAGAATACTGCGAACGCATAGTTTATTGTCTCGACTTTGGACTTTTCCCCAGCCAATTCGTCGTAAGCACATGTTCCTATGGCCGCGAACTCAGACGAGTGGGATATCTTTCGAAGTAGTCTCTGGCTACTGGAATCCCTTTCTACAACAACACGCTGCATTTAGCATTTTTTTACAGCCTTAAACTCGGAAAGTTATTAAGGTCTCTATAGCTAAGGAAACTCCTAGTCATGGTTTGGTGGATATTATTAGATAACGAATCCGTTAACACAAACGATCAAGTCAAATACCATTTCCCACAGCCCTTTAGCTTATCGTTAATCTCAAACTTATCTTTTTTTAATACAATTTTAATTAATCTCTCTCTTGATAATTGCACTGGCCTATAGTGAAAAGATGTAAAGAACAGCATTAATTCCTTTTTGGTAGTTGTTGTTTTCGACAGGGTGGGTAAATGATGCGTTTTGGAACGAATTTCCGTCATTGCTTGTCAAATTTGGTTTGGAGACAAACCGGTTTCGGCGTTGTGCCATCTTCAGTGCCATTTTTCGTTTTGACAAGGGATAACGGAATACATCTGTTATTTTTTTTTTTTTTTCATTTTTTAAAAGCGACTAGCCACTTTTTGTAACCAGTGGGTATTAAGGGGAACAGTTAGTCTCTTCATATTAGGACAAAAGGGCATAGTTTATTCCATATAAAGAAATCAAGTGGTATTTATCGCATATTCCTTTGCGACTACGTCCGGAGTCATCCCGGATTAGTCTCACTTTCTACAGGGTATTTACAACTTTAAAATTGTACACATACACATATATGTATATGCAAACCTAGTTGTTGTGATTCGCTTACACTTTGGCAACAATTCTGCAATTCTTGTTGAGCTCGGGTTCAATTGTTAGCTAACACGAAGCTGGCAAATACTGTTTGGCTGGTTGGCTGGTTCGTTGGTTGCCTGATCTGTCCATATACATACATACATATGTATGTATAAACGAGGGAGCTTTGCAACGGGAGAAAGGGGACCAGTGCACAGCATGACACAATAGCGATATTTGTGTGCAGGCAAAGGCGACACAATGGTTTTGAGAGTGTAGCTTTGCGTGAGGGAGCCACCAGGTTTGCAAATCGCGAACACACAACATAAACAAGGCAAAAAGCCATTTAAAACATGCTATATAGCATGGCCCTTGGTAACAATGTGCAACAAACGAATGTGCAAAAAATGTTTGTTGTTTCTTTTTGTTCCTGCTTTTAAACAACTTTGTTTGCCGCTTTGCATGAAAATGTTGTTTGCAAAAAAACAACTTGCATGTGGAAAAATACAGTAGGGCAAAGGTATACATGCCAAGCGTACTCAATTGCATATGAATTTTTGCAACGACAAAAATGTGCAAAAAAAAAAAACAATAAAAGTTCAAACAAAATTAAAACTTGTTTAGTTTGCCTTTGCTGCTACGATCAGTCTCTCATGCGCTTCGCTCATTTGCTCGATCTTGAGTTCCACAAATGAGCAAAAAGAAAAAAACAATATTTAAACAAAAAAAAAAATTGTCAAAATTTCATATACATGTGTATGTACATATGAATGTAATGCAGAAAAGCTACTAAGTAAGTAAGCATGTAAGCAAAGAAGGACGAGGAAGCAATGTGCATTGAGTAAAGAGGCGATTTGAATGAAGTGTCCAAGGGATATGCATTTACGTATGTATGTAGCGAAATATGCGAAATACCAAGTTATGAATGAATAAGCGCAAAGGCAAAACAAGAAAAACAAAAACAAAGTTGCAAAAATATTATAACAACATTAAAATATAATGAAAATTTAAAGAGAATAAAAAGAATAGAAGATATTTAAAATAAGCAAATTAAAATATACATATACATATATTGAAAATGAAGTTAAAACTAAAAATAAAGAATATTTTAGAAATGAAAAATATTTTAAAAATAAAGAATATTTTTCAAACAAACAATATTTTAAAAATAAAGGATATTTTAAAAAGAAACGACTTTAAAAAAGGAGAATCTTTAATTAGACAATTTTGCAAAGTAAAATGAAAAATTTACGAAAATTTTAAATTAAGTAAATTTCAAAAGTAAAAAAGACAACTTAAAGAGAATTAAAAAAATATTTTAATATTTAAATATAGAGAAAAATTAAAATGTGAGTTAATTTTTAAAATAAAGAAAATAAAAAGCTTTAAAAAGTAAAATAATAAAATTTCAAAAATTTATGATCGATTGCGTCAATCAATTTTTAATTTATTTAGTTCGGAAAATTTGTCATTTTAAATTTTTACACTCTGATAAAATTTAAAATTAATCGGTGCAACCGGGGATAAGAAAATAATAAAAAAAAAATCAATTTTAAGAACTAGGAAGCATTAAAAGCAACGAAAATTTTAAAAATAGAAGATTATCACAATATTGAAAATAAAATTTTAAATACAATAAAACATTTTAAAACTATAGATGATTAATTTAGAAAAAGAAAAATACCTTCAGCAAAATTTAAAAATATAAAGAAAATTAAAAACAAAGAAAATTAAAAATAAAGAAAATTTAAAAAATTTAGTTATGTAATTCGCTTTTGCAACACCCGGTTTACGCAAAAACTCTGTTCGCGCAATAGAAGAAAAATTAGTTTCATTAGAGTGTCTATATGCGTAGTGTGCCATCAAAAAACCCCGATTAGGAAGCTCAAGATAAAGTACCACTAATTGAGTTAAGGAATCGATTCGGTGTAAAATCTGCTAACCGAAATTAACACAAGTAGACTTCTTGCCGGAGGAATTTCTAGAACTATATATTTAGTTCTAAAGTTGTAAGTGATACCAGCTATACAGTATTATTTCCTGCTCTAGATAATCGCAACTTTTCGATTTATGCAAGACCCTGTGACATTAATTAGTTGGGAAAACCGAGACAATACTGTTAATTTAAAATAAATATAAAGAAATTTCAGGAAACAAAGATATTGTAAAATTAAAGAAAAAAATTAAAATAAAGAAAATAGGAAAAAATAAACAAAGCAAAGTTTAACACAGGAAATTTAAAAAAAAATGTATTTAAAAAATTTTTAAATACATAACTATAAAAAATAGATACAAAAAATTAAATTAAATAAAAAGTTAAATATCTATTTCCGACCAAAATTAAAAAACAAACACAACCAAAAGCAAAAACAAAACATTACCGAAAACTGACAACCAAAAAATAAAATTTAAATTAAATTAAAAAAAATTTTTTATGAAATAAAAAAATTGTAAATTAAGTAAAAAAATTAAAAACTGAAAAAATTTAAAAAAGCTAAATATATATTCAAACCCAGTGTAAATAAAAACAAAATTACAAAAATTAATAAAAAGTAAATAAAATTAAGGTTATACCTTTTTTCATACGGAAACAAACTAAACAATAAAATTAAAAATTTCAGTGGTCGGAATATGTTAAGTTTAACAACTCCTCCCTCGGATTGCCAAAATATCAACGTTTTCTTAGATTCAAATAATCGTTAACTTTCAAAATTAGTTTGGCGTTATTTCTTACATTTTGCAAGAAAAGGCTAAATTTTATAAAAAATTAACTGTTACTTATGAACCAAAAAAATTAGTCTGCGTCTGAATGTAGACGAAAACTTAATACATACATAAGTAGTAGTTTATTTTTTCACGACCCTTTAAAGTTCTGCACCTAACTAGAAGTACATACATATGTACATATATTAGAATATGCAAGAATGTGGCTAACTAAAGACAAATGAAAATGAAAACGAGAACTAACTAATACACAACTGTAATAAATGGAAAAGAAAATCATAAAGAGCAGCTACTAAAAAAGCTTACACTCATTAAAAACGCTAGCCTGCATTCAAGCAGAAATGCAGCTCAACACTGCCAGCTATCTCACACTGAGTTAATCGGCAAAGAAAAAAATCAACCAACCGTGTAGCAAAGTTAGCCAGTAGGCAAGTGTTAAATGATGTTAGTGCTGGCAATAATCAGTTCATTTTTTAGCCATAACATTTTTATATGCGCTCATTAAATTTTTTTTTTTTCCAATACACGACTAGTCAGCCAACAAAGCCACTAAAACAAAAAGCCGTTCAAACACACACACACACACACACAGGCACACAGAAAAACGGAAATGGTCAATTGCCAAGCGGGTAAAAGAAATAATACATAGAAACGATCAGGTGAAACACTGCATTGCACTGCTGCACATTTCCGCTCGCTGGCAGAAGCACAACACATTAAATCGAAGACCAGAAGTTAGCAAAGTTTGTTGTAGTTTCTTCAAATTGATTGTATTTTTTTTATTTAATATTTTAAGCGATCACTTTTCATTTGGTATGTACCTTGAGTCATAATTTGCTTCTCGTTTGACAACTAAATTTCAACTACTAACCACTAGAGCGCCGCGTAGTTATTACAGACACTTTTTTTATAGAATTTATATCTTTCTTGTATAAAGAATTGCCTTCTATTTGATTAGGTTTATTTTAAGTCACAATAATTTTACTTGTCATTTGAATTTTATAATAAAAAATTGCTTCTCGCAAAGCAAATATTATAAATATCTAAAAGATATACACATGTATATAAGTACACGATTGCTTCGAAGTTTGCGTCTATTACATTTGTTGCTATTCGCACAACCGTTTTCCTCACCGTTTAGCCGACAACTGATTCGCTTCAGGCTAAACATGAGAGATTTAACCATTTCCTCTCGACCATTTCGATATTTGCTAATACGCACACCTGTAAAAAAAATGAGCAGTTCGAACCGTTGCCAAACACACTGTTCATGTGCGCTCTGCCGCTCAATTTGTGTTGTGCAGAGCACGGCTTATGAGCTGCAAGCTGTGTGTTTTAAGGTAGTGGCTTAAAACCGGGTTTTGTATGCATTCGTTTGCCGCGTACCGATTTCGAAAAAATGCACAGTAAAAAAAATTACAACTTTTGAATTTAAATAAGCAATGAAGATTTTGAAATCGTCGGATTGTAAAGATCACCTCAGTTTGGGAAAAAGCGCTTGTTTTAGTGAACCAACATTTCATTGAGGAACGAACAGGCGACGCACTATGGCGCCTCTGCCGCAAAAACGTTGCAAAACTAAAAAATTTCACGAAAGCGCTCGATAAAGCGAATATACATACGTATCTAAGAAGGGTTTATTACGAAAATATAACAGGAGTTAGTAGCTTAGCAGGTAGAGCCGCTCAAAGTTGACAATTTTTCCACAAGAAGAAAAATGTGTATTTACTGTTCTTTTTCGTCATATTTAAGATATGTCTGCAAATAAAGCGACCAGTTGCTATTTTTTGTACTTTAGCGAAAGGTACTGCAATTCTAGGTGTCAGTAAAAAGGAAAGTCATTTTTTCCCTAAAAATTGTTAGATCTTTTCGATCCTTTCTCCAAAAAAGATAAAATAAGAAATTCCAAAAATGTCCTCTTTGAAATTAAGGGTGGCGATTTGCTAAGTATTTAATTAACTGATTCAAAATTTTCTTCTGTTCCTGGACCTTGGACGAAAAAACACGCCTAAGCAAGTACAAGGCGAGGGAGGTTGTTTGCAGCAGCCAAAACGAATCAAAATAGATATAGACAATTGTATACATAAAAGCTCGGAATTAAAGAAATCGATTAAGCGGCCACGGTCTGTCCGTCCGTCCGTTCGTTCGTGCGCACGATAACTCGAGTATAAATTGAGATATCTTAACGAAACTTGGTACGTGTACTTCTTTGAGCGTAGGATGGATGTTATTGAAAATGGGAAAAATCGGACAATAACCACGCCTACCTTCCATATAACGGTAGTTTTCAGATATAAGAAAACTGTCATATTTAAGTAACTACTGAAGCTTATTCATTCAAAATAGACATTTCCAATGATTTTAAAGCGAAAAATAAGAATGTTATAAATTTTTGGGAACGGGGCATAGCCACGCCCACTTATGATTACATATAACGGTAATTTAGTGAAATACGAAATCTTCGATAAATCCATAAATACTGAAGCTAATTTATTACAAATTTATGTTTGCAATACTTCATTAGAAAAAATACGTTTGTAAAAAAATTTTGAAAAATGGGCGTGGCACCGCACACTTATGACCACATACATATTTTTATCTCAGTAACGGTTCGATCAATTTGTACCAAACTCGGTATAATTAATGTACTTGCCACGTAAAAGCAAGGCGCTGAAAATTTTTGGAATCGTACTAAAATAACGCCTACTTTTCATATAACGGTAAATTTCAGAAATGCTTGAAACTTCGATATTTCGAAATTTAAGGACGCCTTAAAAATAAATATCATTATTATGGAATTTAGAAATAACTATATAAGTAAGAAATTGGCTTTCAGTCACTCCGCCCAAGAACGTCAAAGGGCACCTATTCGAATACATGGACACGGTCCAGACATACATTAACCAACCACTGGACCTGACGACGTACCGACGAGTGATCAACGGCATTTATGCCACCCATTTTAGAATCGTATTAATAAAAATCTGAAAAATATACCACTGATAAAATATTAATAAGCTAAAAAAGGTTTGCACTGAAATTTATGTAAATGTTTTTGACGTGCATCTGGAAAATTCAGCTTGACTACGGTTGAGTTAAAAAAAATTAGCGAAAAGTAAACGCACAAAAACTTATTTTCCACTCACCAATACATAAGCTTTTATCGACTCAGTAAGCCCATAATCGAGAGGAGAACTTAGGGGAGAACTCTCAAAAAACATTAGGCAGGTATATATGTATGTAGTTATGTATGGACATATGACTCAAAGTCGGCTTGCAATAGTACAAACTGTTGGTTTGATGCGCCACTTACTAACACTGAGCCAATGGTTAAGAGACAAAGCCAGGTAAATTGCTACATAACAAGCAAATGAAATATGAACATACATATGCATGTTTCTATACATACTTATATGCCAATATGACTCGTCTCAGTAAGTTTGGTTTTAACGTTTGTTTTCGTATTCTCAAAGAGACAGTCAGCTGTTTACATACAAATGAATTACAAAACATCTACCTAAGCCAAGCTTCTCTTGTGAGAAAAGTTAACACTCTTTGGACGCTTTGTGTAAGGTTGCCAAATAGATGTGAAATAATCTCTTTGCTTATTGACGAGTGAATTATTTAAGATGTAGACTGCTAAAAAGATGTTCAGTAAAACAGTAAAGTAATTTTTACTAAATCGACCGCTTTGTGCAAAATTATCGAAAATACGTATGTGGGTGGTCCACAAATGCATGTGAAAAAGTAAAGTCGGAAATTGTATGCTCTTACCCCCTAGGATTGTTCTATACCAAAAAAAAATATACCCTTATTTTTTATTTTGAAATAAAAAAATATTTAGAGGTCGCACAAAGCGCCTAAAGTTTTCCATGAATTTTATGTGGCGAAAAAAAAACTTTTCGCAGAAATGATATAGAATAGTTAAAAATTCACAATTGAGTATTATTATTGAAAGTCTCCTGAAGAGAGCCAGAGTTTTCCGATCGAAAAATATTGACTTTCAAGAATTCTATACCATTTCTACGAAAAAATTTATTTTTCCCATATAAAAATACATGGAAAACTTTGAGCGACCTCTAAATATTTTTTGATTTCAAAATAAAAAAAACAGTGGTCGGAGAAGCCATGCTTTACGCGAAAGGCAAAAAAGGCTGTTCCGATTATAATCAAACTGCAGGATCGTAGTATTTTTGTAATGCTAAATCCATATATGCCATACAATTCTTGTTGGACTGTGATTTTTTTCTAAAAATAAGACAATCTTTTTAAAGATGTCACTGATCAACATGCTGATCAAGAATTTTATGTCAAATAAAAACTGTGAGAGTTGACAACTGTCAAATGGACTGTTAATTTTTCTAAAAATAAGGAAATATATTTTAAAATGATACTGATAAGGGTTTTAGATATTTACGCTAGTCACGAATATTCCATGAAATACCCTAAATAAGGAAAATTTCCCAAGAATTAAACGGGCTGGGTTTTAAGGCTCACTGACCTCGAGTTCTATATCACATTCAAACTTTGTGAATTGACAACTGTCAAACAAACTGCCATTTTTAGTTCAGTAACACAATACATTTCTTTAACAAAATTAATGATTTATTGTATTCAGGGAACATATTTAAAATTAACTTATGATTAAATTATGAAATATTAATAGTAATTATATTTATAAATGGGGGATAGTTGGGGCTGTCTGCTATATGTTCAGCCCAAATAATTTTACTTAGATCCCCATAGTTTTTTTAAGATTTCTAAATTTTATACACAATTCGTCATTTCCAAAACTTTAGTTTTCTCATTGTAACTACCAAATTTCACGAAAATTCAAAAACTAATTTGAAATTTGTAATGAAGTAAGTAAGAGCGAACTTATGGATCTCGAAATACAAAATTGCATAAAAATTCAATATTTTTTTTAATTCTTGGGCGCCATATTGGATTTTTGAAAATTGGCTTCAGGTTGGTTAAGAGACATCTTATAAATGATATGATGCTAAATATAGAATAAATTACATGAATTTTTAATGCTTTGATATACTTTATATTATGTGGAAAAACTGCCCGGCCTTTCTTTTCGTATAACCTTAAGTAAAGTAATAAAGATCCTTGTCGGCCCTATTCATTAGTTACACCTTTTTGAAAAAAAAAATATTTCTTGAAACATAAGCCGTGTTATGAATGTATTGATAATTTAGCAAACAATTTGTATTATGCAACATTTCATATAAAACCTCATTTTACATGTGTAAAAAATAACAACAAACCAGCAATTAATGTTATAATTGAAAGTTTCCATCAAACACATTTTAAGAAAGCTATCCACACACAACTGTTAGAACGTGCCCGGATCGAATTCGTCGAATTAGCGGATTCAACGGCTTGCTAAGCAGATATTATTGAAAACATTTATCAGTTTTGAGTTCGTTGGACATTCCCAAATAGGAATAGCTTTATTCCGGTTAATTTATCATATGCCTTTTTCGCCTAAAACATGGCCTCTCCGATCATTGTGCTACGTACCAAATATTTTTGTATGGCACATACGATAATTTCGCGCACAAGAAAAAATGCTTTGTAAACATAGGATAAGATATACAGTAAATTTTTGGAATAGAGGATTTCAAACATCAAACATCAAAAACACAATTTCGAAAAAAGTTTACATCCGATAATCTCGCGCAAAGCCGTAGCTATCATTGAATTTTGAAGCAGTTTCACGACGACTTTGGAACATTTTTTATCATTCTTTTCTCGCTTTATTTACTTGTTTGGCTACGCGTCCACTTTAAAGTACCGCTTTGATCTAGTACATAGTCTTAGAGATAGTACATAGTCTTAGAGATATTGAATCACCACTAAAAGTCTTACCTCCATTTTGCGCATTTTTCACCTCCCATTGATACCATTGTTACAATAAAAGCGATTTAGAACCTATAACAAAATCATTCCCTTCATTTCTGAGTCGATTATTAAGCAAAAATAAGCCAGCTACTATTACGTCAATATAGACTAATTACAACTTAATACAAATCGTAGTATGACGATATTTTGTCGACAAATTGTCTAGCAGTGCTAAAAATTTTCAGCGCCCTTGAATCTGATACTCTCGCTAAAATTTTTTTATAATTTCTCATACCAGAAATCAATGTGATACAAATCACAAAAAAAAAAA